AATGTATACCCACGTTTCACACGATATCATTATTTCAATTCAATTTTAGCTGCACAAACAAACGCGTGAACAATAAAGAGAAACTTATGGTGACCAGCTTTAGTGTGTCAGTATGTCACGTTGCAAGAGATCCAACAGACAGAATGAATTGTTTATATTTAAGGCATACGTATTTTAAATTTATTTTTAAATTTACACTCTATACAGCATAAAATAAAAAAGTTATTTTTTTAGATGTAATTCTATGGATAATGATTTAATCTGTATAATATTAAAAAATTTTAATACAGATTTCTAGCAAACCAGTGTGATATTCCAACACATTGTCTTAAATGTTTCATTGTTTCTCCTTTGAATAACGTTGTGTATCTCATGTTCCAAAATAAAGAACTTCTTCAAGGGTAACATGGAATTATAAGCGATTCGTCAAATGGATTGCTCGCAGTGTTTCTTTTGATTCTACAATATGACAGCCTAGAACTCAATGTTATTGCCCTTGACGTCAGGTATTTTTAGTTGCAAAACATCAAGGATGAAAAATTTATACATAATTTTAAATAAAAAATGTGATTTTTAAAATATACTGCACAGAGATCTCTATTGTGGGAGAAGGTTTAGTTTGATTACGATAAAACATATTATTATTGCAACATGGTTTAACGTTAACAGTAAAATTAACGGAAATATAGATCAAGAGCAATCAATGACCCTTGATAGATTCCTTCCGCGATTCGACAATTCAATTTAGCATCTAGGACACACTCAACGGTGATAACGGCGAGACGAGGTTTCGTTCAACGCTCGATAACGTACCTGTGTTAACGCTTACCCGGCTCACAGCTCGCTGTGACGCGCTTTATCAACTGGAAGCGACGTACTTGTTTCTTTCGTGCACATTTCAACTGGTCACGCTGATATTTAACGACGTTTTGACGAATGATACGGAGCGTACGTACTTCGATGCCTACGCATGTGGCTGTTAGCTGAGGTTTAGTCGTTCCGTACGCACGATAGCTTGACGCATCCACGCGAAATAACGCTTTTCTTTGAAAATTTGTTCGCTCTTAGGAGCTTTAGATGTGCACGAACGGGAAAAGTTCGTAGCCAAAATGCAGATAAAAGTACGTAACAGCTCAACGATGTGTTTCACAATTGCACGACACTTTATTATAAGTTATTCTTGAAACTCACCGAAAATGGCTCCTATCTGTAGCACGTCAATCGCCAATCGCACTCGTCAATCGATTTTACGGTCAAAAGTAAACCGTTTTGTTTTCCGATCAGAAAGAAAGCACACGTTCGCGGACAAAAGTGTGGAGAAACGCGACAATACTGTGAAGTAGCCTCAAACAAAGCTCAATACCAGTCACGACTTTTTTTTTCAAATGTTGGTACACTCGGCGTCATGTGTGCTCCACGTTCAGGAGTTTGCCACTTCTCGAATGCGTCCTATCTAGATATTCGTACATCGTGATTTAAGTTAGCAGTAAAGACCTCTTTTGTAATAATTGTAAACTATAATCCGAATTTTTTTGTCCAAAATATGGAAAAAAATAGCATCGTCCGTAGAATGCTAAGAGCAATTTTCTGAAAAAAATTATAAAAATTGTAAAATCTGTTATTAGGTTTAAAATTTGGATTATATCGAGTTTGATTAATCAGAACAAAAGGAATATAATTTTCTTTCTCCTGATTGGTCAAGTAACTTGCAATTTTGATGCAACTTCTGATATAGGCTTTAGGCCGGCGCGGTCAAAGGCTTTATCGAGTTTAGTCAACGAGGGCATGGATGTGCACGAACTCGAATAGGGTGGATCAGGCTAGTTGAATCGGTATCGACTCATACGACGGAAGAGTGGAATCGGAGCAGAATTCTTCTGCTCAATGAGCTGTCTCATGTTTTTTTTCGTGTATCTTTGCCGAATTGGATAAATCAGTGAAAAGCTTGACAAGTTTTTAAAAGCCGACTAGTCAATACGAATGCGAATGTCATATCGAAACTTGTGACTTATCTTCTGCAAATATGGCAAGTTACTTTACGCAGATATATTTTGATTGACTGGCTTATAAAATTTTTTCTAGCTATACTAATTCCGCAAGATTTAACAGAATGTGTGGAGCTAGCAACTTTTACAATGACTTGTAATCTTGAGTCAAAATAGCTTTTTAATTATTAATATTTATATTGAGTCTTGGATTTTTCCCAGCTACTGCCTTCTTTCATATTTATGTTTGTCTTAATTTCTTTGCAGTCGGGAACACTAAAGCCCTATTTGACAGCAGTCAGGCGTACACTAACCGCCGCTATGTGCCTGGAGAACTTTTCCTCCCAAATCGTGGAGAAGCACAACAAGCCTGAAGTGGAAGTAAGGGCGAGCAAAGAATTACTTCTAACGCCTATTCTGATAAGTAGGAATGACAAGGAAAAAGTCTTGATTGAATCTAGTGTAAACAGTATGAGAATAAGTATTGCTGTAAAACAAGCAGACGATCTAGAAAAGATTCTCTGTCATAATTTCACAAGATTCATGACAATGAGGGCCGAACACTTTATGATACTAAGAAGGAAACCAGTAGAGGTGAGTAGTTGAAAGCTTATTGTTTTTTTCAAGCATTTTTCAAGATATATTGATTATAATTTTGTATAACTTGTTTTAGGGTTATGACATTAGCTTTTTAATCACTAATATTCATGTTGAGCAAATGTACAAACACAAGATAGTAGATTTTGTTATTCACTTTATGGAGGAGATTGATAGAGAAATCAGCGAGATGAAATTATCGGTTAATGCTAGAGCACGTATATGTGCAGAGGAATTCTTAAAAAGGGTGAGTATCAAATTTCTGCTTTTTATTAATCTCAACTACTTACTACTTTTTTACTCTATAGACATGATATTGTTCACTCAACATGTATGATTTTCTTTTTCAGTTTTAGTCTGTTTGTTGTGGACTATTATCAATATATCGATAATTGGAAGAATCTGGGCACATAGCAGATATATTGTCTATTGGAGTTATTATACAACTTTTAACGGCAACTTTGAGAAAATTATGCCACTGAGACGTTTTTATAAAATATCTAACGATGTGTCCTTATCCACATGTCACTTAGATCATTCCATGTTAAATGAAAGTGGATAGTGTAAAACGCTGATGTTAGAAAGTTGTTTCAAAGTTTGTTTTACAAAAATTCAGGCAATATTACAAATGAGAATATTGTTTACACTTTTGTTATGAAACATTCTTAGACTATGCAATAAGATTTGTATTAATCTGATCATTTACACATGAAGGAAGAATATGATATGTATGGGTAATCAAGTAATACTAAGTATAGCTAGTTCCCAGTAACTCTACGAACTCGAGTATGAAAATTCAAATCGTATCATTTGACATGGAATGATTCATTCATTTTTATTAATGTTTGCTAAAATAAAAGTTCTTAAAAAAATTGAGATTAGTAAAATCGATATACATATTGTAACTACTTATAATTTCAAAACAAGTATTATATATCGCATTTATAATTATCAGAGGTAACCAAAGCTATATCATTGTGAAATTGCTTTATCAACTTGATTCACAAATTTTATTAGATACTGTTAAGTCATTATGAGTGTTTCATGACTTTTGAATTTGTATACCTTTTACAAATTTTATACGTCTTGTAACATTTCTATTCGAAATAGCATAGATTCAAAACAGATTAATCAATGTAAAATATGATTTAGCGAAATTCGTTACTTCAAAGTTTAAAAATCTTTGTATCTAATACTAACAGATAATTTAATAAATATGCCATTTACTTTTTTCTAAGATCTTACATTTTTATTCCGAAAAAATTAATCAAAAACGCACATCTTTAAAATATTTTTAGTCCATATTTGTATGTCATATACATTGTATGTTTATTGTATGTATAAAATTGTATGTTTGGATCGTTTATATCAATTGACAGCGGAATCATGTAGTTTTCGCAAGAAATACCCAAAAATTTCGACGTGTATCCTCAAATTTTAATGAAGATTTAATCATAATTTAATGATTTTTTATGTCTGTCACTTTTCTAATAAAAAATAAATGTTATTATTAATAAAAAATAGGAAATCTATAAAAAATCAAAATAATGATAATTTATTTTTATTTGGGAAATATATCGAGCAGAAACGCCTTGATAGCTGCAATCTGACTAACGTTACGGACGCCTCCAGAACTGCGGAGTCGGTCACGTTCACGATGGTTCTCTGTAAATTTCTCTTCGTGGTAGGGTATCTCACTAGCGGTGGTATATGACCAGTCGATCGTCGATCGTCAGTGGTGATTCGTGAGTTTTCCAATTGCGAGACTATGCAAATTTTCCCTCCTCAATTTCTATCAATCTTTCTTGTGTGAACTATTATTATATTTTGTTTTTCTATCTAAAGAAACAAATTTTATTCCAATTTCGATTGACATCGATAATAGCGCTGCCGCTTATCAGCATCTAATAAATTCTATGTATGAAGTTTGAGAATTAAAGATTTTTAACTTTCAATATCAGCTATAAAAGAAAATCAATCAAAGTTTCGCTTACGGTGCGATGTGACATCGATAATAGCGCTGCCGCTTATCAGCATGCAAATTATCTTAGAAGATCTAGTTTTACCTTGAGAAAAGCATATATTTTAACTATAATGTAAGAAGTGCATTGATAAAATCGGCAAATTAAAGAGTTATTCAATGTTATTTTGATTCGGAACTATCGCAAACTCTCACAGGAAGCGTGAAATTTTCGAGGTCCATGCTACAGACTGTCGAGTTGATAGCCGTATACCCAAAAATACGCGAGATTGTCGCTGCATCGACCGTCGTGCTGTACAATCTTGCGCTACGTCCTTGCTCCGTTAATACATGCAAGTCGAGAAATCGTCGAGAATTGTAATCGAGAAATAATCGTGTCTCGTTTTTCTCAATTGTTGTCTCAGTTTCGCGTCAATCGTAATGTTTCTATATAGCTTCGTCTTTTTCCTTTTGTCATAATCGTCATTCCTCAAGGATATTTCCCGCGTGTATCAGAGTTAAATATTTGTGTTATATATCTACGTGTCAATATTTATATATTTTAAAAATGTATATATATATATAATAAACTTTAATGTGCCAATTCTCAGCTCGCTCTCTGTGATTTTATTTTTACGCAACTCGCACACACGCTGCATCATTTTTCAAATCCGTGATCGATTCTTTCTAATTCGTATCTTTCTTCTTAGCTTTCCCGTTCCTCCGAAATATCTCGCTATATCTCGCGGCGGACTGCACTCTGACATCGAGTTTGCGCGACGCCGTGCGCTTTTTACGCCGACGCTGACGCCGACGCCGACGCCGACGCCGACGTCGACGCAGCATTCGTGGTTTGGAGTCGACGTAGTCCGAGGCCTGGCGTCTTCCGATCGGGCGCAGGAAAGCTAGCAGGAATCGAGTCATTGCTGCCGTTGTTGTCATTGTCGTTGCCGTACTCGTCAGCGTGCTCGTCGATGTGACAAGAAGGATAATCACAGAATTGCGCGGCAAGGGAAAGAAGAACAGACACGCAGTATCACAAATCAGGTAACAAACTTCCGTCAGCAGTCAGGACCATACATTTAAAAGAAGAGGGAGCGAGAAATATACAGAAAAAAGAGGAACTCGAAGTTAGAAAGGGAAACTTTGGAAACATCCCTAAGGGCGCTTCCGGAAGAAAAAGAGAGACGCGGAAAATAGCGAAGAGTGAAAGTTGGAAGGAAAAAAGCGAGAGGGAGGGAACGTGAGAGAAGGCAACGGAAGAAGGGGTGACGGAGTGTGGGGGAGAATCGCGAAACTGTGCGGGCACACACAGAGGAACACAGAGAGAGAGAGAGAGAGAGAGAGAGAAGAGAGAGGAGATCCGAAATTGAAAAGTTCGCAGCTGTGGCTCGTGCTTAGGTAGGATGCGTGTGCTTGGGTGCGGCGTCTCGCCACCACCCGACAAACGACAGTTTCGCAGCGTCGATAGCGTCCGTAATACTGTCGCCGACGGCAAACCCGTGAGAACATTTATCGAGAGCGCGGCAGAATCGTTCGCGAGAGTTAGCGCGCTCGGCCGAATCGCCAAGGACGAGAAAAGCGACCGGAGATCACCGCGGGGCTTGAAGATACGCCTCGAACGCATCGCACCGTCCGGACGTCGCCCGGTCACGGAAGTTCGTCAAGGAGAGTCGATTCGCGCCGCGTGTCCCGCCGTCGAGAACTCGCAAGGACGATTGTACAGTGTCGTCCGCAGCGTTGTTTCTTCAGCGTCGAAAGGTGCGCGATCGTTCAGACGCCTCGACAACGGACCTTGCGCCCGTGCGAATTGAGTTCCGTTTTCACCTCATCCGGGTACAAGAGGTGACAAGTCGCCGTTGGATCTGTTGGACCCGTTCAAGCGCGCCGTGCTCAGGTGGACAACGAGGACGTCGAGCGGCGTCGAGCGATATCAAGCGACGTCGGACAGCGGCGGGGTCGTAACCGGCGGCTCCAGCCCGGCTCTCAGACACTACGTCCGGACTACTCATGTTCATCCCAGACACACTGAGAAGCTGCATGGTGGAACCAGATGTCTCGACTTACCTGCAGGCTCCTTCCGTCGGACAGGTGCTTAGATTTTAGACACGCTTGCTTCGGCCGCGCTCTGTACGCCTCTCTCGTGAAAATCATTTTGTCAGCTTGCACGTGCGCCTCTTCCGCTGCTGTTTATGCCAATTTGATTCTTTTCTAGCAGTAATTTTCAATTTACATATTTTTAAATACAATAATAAAAATTGCAAAACACGTAGAATATGATTGAGTTGCCGCGCGAGTACAAAACACGCGTTTCGAATGCTGCGCGCGCTTCGTGCTCCGTCACGCTATTTATCTGACCGATTATTCCTATCCCGAGATGTAGGTATAAATACGCGTGTAGTATAGATAGTATAAATATATATATATAAATCTTGTCAGGCAATTTCCACACAATATGGCTATGATTTCCGCGTCGAAGATCGTTCGAAAATTGTGAAAAAAATTTTCCTCTCGTCTCTTCGATGTACATATTTTTTTCTTGACAAAATTTCTTTTCTTTTATTTTCTCAAGAAACATTTCTCATCTAATCAGATGAGAAAAATAACTGCTCGTCAAACCATACTTGTCTGTTTATCACTCCAAATTTTCAAGATCTTCTTCGAAGTCGATTGTATCAAGCAAGATCGCATTATTCAATGAAAGATATGAAAAAAAGAAACAATTAAACGTTAAAATTGAGAAAAAAAGACCCGGGTGAAACAAAGAAGATGGAAATCGGCTGGCGGCAGCATCGCGTTAGCGTCGGCGTCGCGTTGCGTCGCATCGCGTCGGTTCGAGGGCAAATCTAGTAAGCTAGGACAGGGGCTATTAATAACTGTTTAGGGTGCCGTACCTGGCCGCCGCCGCGCGGTGCCGTCCGCGTCTCGATACGCGCGTCTCGACGACCGGCGTCTCAGTGTCGTCGCGACGACCGACGTTGTGCCCGCCGTTCCGCTACCGACGACGCGGGACTGGGTCGCGAATCTTGGCGAACAAATCGCGCGCGCGGGCTCGAGACGCGGAGATCGGGATCCGAGTAGCGCCCACTCGTCGTAATCGCGCGTTTAACTCGTTAACAGCGGGAACGACTCGGGAGCGGAGATTTGTAGCGCTTGTAGAAGAGATCGCTCCGCCGTACTGCCGTCGGTGCCAGCGCGCTATCGCGCCTCAGCCTCACTTTCGGAAGCGTCCGGCCCGCATCCGCCGGAGCTTCAACGTTGAAATGGCGGTGCGGCACTCTTCTCGCAGGAATATGGGAAAATTATATCATGCGCTTTATATAGAGCCAAATGCTTGACCAATACGGATTCGCGCCTCTGTTGGTCTCACTACTCGAATTCGCGTAGGCGGACGGAGTGTGTTAAATTTATGTTTCGGTCCCGCTAATCGCGTATCGTTTACGTCTCCCATGCAAATCCGATCGGTGCATTCTTGCGACACGCGCCTCGAATTCGCGCTCGTATGATGCGTTGTTGTACACCGTAAAAAATATCTGCAGTGACTTTCGCGATCTCTCCATCGCTCAATTGTTTACTCGCAACTGTAATAAACGGGTGAATTGCAATTTTCAAGAGTTTTTCCCGACCGCCGGTTCTGTCGGCAAGAATTACGTTACGTCGAGATGTTTCGTCGGTTGTGACTCGTGGACCTTTTCGAATGAGTTCGCGCCACGCAATATTGCGCGAGTAAGTACAGAAGAGGAAGAGGAGGAGAAGGTGAAGGAGGTGGAGGAAGAGAAGGAGGTGGAGACGGTGGTGGCGGAAGAGAAGAAGGCGGAGTTGACGGACTCTAATTTGAGTTCGCGAATCGCTCGTACCTGACAATGGTACGTTTCCCGTGTGACCATCGTTTTCCGGGAGTGATTCACTTTGCGCTTCTTCCTGCTTGGCTGCTCGTCGGTCTTTGGCATGGATTTTCTCGCGTGAAAAGTAACTTATAGTAGAAAAAAAAAATAAAAAGAAAGATTAAAAGAGAAAAGAGATACAAGGACACCTTTGGGAATCATTTTAGCTTTCGCTTGTCACTTCCCCCAAGTATATCCCAAAAATTTGTCGCGCGTGTCACACCTCCAACGTGTTTTTATTCTCGCCGCGATGACGAGAGTGTTTAACGTTTCTGATTTTTGTTGGTCTCTCCGAAAATAACAGCGCACGTACACACATATACACGGATGGACGCGCAAACGTACAAAGGCGTGTCCGTAAAACGTCCGTAAGCGACGGTCTCATCTCCCAGACGCGCACGTTTTCTCGCCGTTTTATCCGCACGTACATGTCCATTTCGTTTCGTTCGCTATTTCGCCCGGTAGCCACGACACACCTGACGCCCGTCCGATGTACAAAGCCGTGGAGAAAGGAGCGAATGTATACAGACACACACACACACACTTCTCCTTCTATTCCCTTTCCTCTTTCGTCGACTCGTCGCGCGCGAACATCTTAAGGACTCTTAAGGACGGCAAAGTTCCTTGGCGCTTTGGCGATTAAAATTTAGATCGCAGCGACTTCCGTCGGGAAAAGACTCTTTCGTAAAGCGACTTATAAGCGAAGTCTCCGAGGAGAAATTTGGAATTTCCTTCGAGAGCGAAAAAAAAAAAAAGAAACGTCTTCTCGTTCCTAAAATTAGGGATACCGCTGCAAGAGGATGGTTGATCGCTTAATAAACGCCGCGGCAGCTCCACGTGGTAGCGTTGGTAAAAGTTACGCGCCAATATCGCGCGATTAAGTAGAGCGCGGCCAATACGCGCGTGGACGCGTGGAGCGCGCGTTTGCGGGGACAGTGTCGCGGGCAAGATTCCCGGTGCGTGTTGGCAGCGGCTGCGACGTGGTGAGAAAAAGTGGAGGATAAATAGACCTATCGGATAAATTGGAAGGCACGTGAGAGAGAGAGAGAGAGAGAGAGAGAGAGAGAAAGAGAAAAAGAATGCGCGTGCACGCGAGTCGAGGACTAGAGCTCGAGGGATACGACTTTTGACTCTCGCGCGCCTGAAACGTCCGTACGAGCCGCGCGGATGCTAAAGCTCGCG